AATCGAAGATTGATCAAACTTCTGAATTCACCTAATAAAGAAAGAATTTTTTAATGATTCTCTTTCAAACTGAAAGCATGCTGAAGAATACTTGGCAACAGTTATAGGAATCAATCCAAAAAATATATGATACAATTGAGATTCAGAATAAATCATATTTGGAAATCATGAACAACAATTTCAATCCTGCAGATTTTTCAGATACTGACTTAGAGAAATTAGTATAAATTGTATAAGGAAAAAATTTAAATGAATGGAAAGCTTAGAAGGATTCTTATTTGTAGAAATTATCAAAGATAAAGGATTGGTGGGAGAAAGAAATTAAGGCTTTTAATGAAAAGTTGAAAAAGGAAATTAAAGAATAATTGCCATCAGATATTAAAGGAAAATAATAATAAAATGAAATGAAATGTCCATCATAAGTGAATCTTAAACCATTTTTTTATTAAATAATTGAAGCTAATTCTATTAAATAATAAGAATTTTGTGCTGCAGTTGCTATTAATAAAGATGGTTCAATTGTAGCAGCTGGTTGTAATTAACTAATTAAAATTTATGAATTCCAATAAGGAATGTTGAAATTTAATCAAATTTTAAATGAACATAAAAGAGATGTTTCTACTTTAAATTTTATGAAATAATAAAATTAATTGATTTCTGGAGATTAAGGATCTATTTTGATTTGGTAATATAATAATAATAATTTATGGATTTGTTCATAAACTATTAATGATCATAGTAGTTGGAATAGATGCATCATTTTAAATAATAAGGAAGATCTTTTTATATCCAGTAGTGCTTAGAGGACTATTAAGTTTTGGGTTAAAAAGAATGAATGGATTTGTTAATAAACTATTACAGATCATAGTGATTTGGTCTATCAATTAAGTTTAAATGAATAACAAAATCAAGTTATATCTTGTGGAGCGGATAGATTGATATTAGTGATAGAGTAATCAGAACCTAATAAAAATTGGATTGTAAAACAAAAAATAAAAGTTGATTGTAAAGGATATCGATTATGCTTTATTAATGATAATCTATTCACATTTTAACCTAAAAAGGGGAATTTGATGTATGTTTATGAAATGAATAGTGTAAGTAAATAGTTCACTAAATCAAAAGATATTACTATAAATTAAGGAAATGATAATTGTTTATTATTTCCATAATAATTTATTAAATAAAAATAATTAGTTGTTAATAAGCATGGTGAATATGTAAATTTAATAAGATTTACAGAAAATGCTGAATTTAAAGTTGAGTAATCTATTTAATTTGGAACACATTATTTATTTGGATCATCGAGTGATGATGGACAATATTTGATTACTTGGGATTAGACATCATATCAAATATAAATAAGGAAATTCAAAGAATAATGAGATAATTATTATATTAAATATAAAAGTTAAAGTTAATTATTTTTATTTAGATTAAAAAAATCAACAAATCAATATTTTCTTAGATCTCAATTAAATCAAAAATTCCAAATATACAAAATAAGAATATTAATTTTTCATCTTATTTTGATTGATATGGAATCGAAGAAAAATGTTGTAGCAATCAAAATAATAATATAGATTACTTAATAATATTTATATGAAGGAGTCTCTAATTAGTTGGTAAATATTATATGGAGAAAGTTAAAACACTATTTTAAGAAATATCTTATTAAAGTATAATCTTAATTGTTTAGATTTCCAATTTTCAGCCACAACCTTAGAATATATATTTATTATTATATCAACTATATTCTTGGTGGAAAGATGACAATAAAATTATAATTAGGATTAAATAATTTTATGTTGAAACTCTATCAGGTTTAAATTTTCATGTATAAAATGAAAAAGAGAGGGTGAAACTCAATCTAGTAATATGAAAAATTTAAGTTATGTTCTTTTTGATGAAGATGAGTTAAAAGAGATCAAAATCATCGAATAAAAAATAAAGAAAGACTCGGAGGCTAGAATAGGAACTATAGTTTAAGTAATCATGCAACAAGAGATTTAGTAATCAAAATTAAATTGAAATTTTAACTTTAAGAAATTAAGAAAATGGCTTAGAACTCTTTATTATATATAGATAGTAGTAAAATAGACAATTAAATGTTTAATAGAGAACAAAGGACTGGCTCAGAGAGCTAATCAAGTTTTGACAGGAAATAATTTAATAAATTGTTCAAACAAGTGTTAAACAATTCTCAACTCGATGGTTGGAAAAAAAGTTTATACTGATAATAAACAAAGAGCAATAGATATATATATTGATTCTAATCAAATCTGTTCAGCAAATTAATAAAGAATAATTTAACAAATAAATAATAATTAGTGATCAATAAAAAAGCCTAAATAATCTTTTATGGTAATCTATAAAAAATTATTATTTTTAGCAAAAAAAGAATTAAGAACTTCTTCCATTTAGAAATATTTAATTGCCTGGAGAATCAATTATTAAAAGGCTGAATGATTAAAATTATTCAAAGATAGATTAATTTACCTTTTATAAATTTCAATTCGGTTTTTAAATATATTTTATCCTTTAAACAAATTCTATAATTTGTTAAATTTCTCTTAATATTGGTCATGAAACACTTTTAGTTCATATGTATTTTGAGGATTTAAATAAATAGTTTAAAAGAAGATTAGGAAAATAAAGGAAAGTATTGCAAAAAAAAAAGAACAAGATAATAAATAGGATAATCCTTAGAATGGATATACTGATAATGTGCATGTTGCTAAGAACTATTAGGTTTCAAGAGAAGTAGAAGTTAATCTGTTGGTTTGCAAGAAGAAAAAACTATTACCCCAGCTACAAAATGAAGATATTAATATTAAGAGCAAATAAAGCAGAATATTTTAAGTATTTGAGAATATTATAACAATTTTGGAAGGCAATTAGATGAAAATTTTCCTAATAATCGGTATGATGAAGAAGGTAATATTATGGGCGATCTCTTCGAAATTTATGCAGGATAATTTAATTGAAATCTATCAAAAATCAGGAATAAAATATATTATATATATGAAGAATATGTGTAATATGGAAAAATTTTAGAGACAACTCCTTTTGAAAGAAAGCAAAGAGGGAAAATTTCAAAATAAATTTAATATTATTAGGATTAGGGGAATAAATGATTATTGATATTACAAGATTTGTGGAAATCTATGGAAAATTATACGGAACATAATAGAATGAATAAAGAGCTTATATAGATCATATAGTAATTGTGATGATAAAATTAAGAGAATCTAAAATACGTAGAAATTAATCTATTTATTACAATTAGCAAGAAATAAAATAGAATGGTAAATTTGCAAAGAAGTTTAATTTCTATTTTATGTATACTGCCAGAGAGATATTTATAAAAAGCAAAATTTGCTAAGCTAAAATAAATATAATAACGAGATGCAGATAGATAAATTAAATTCAAATCTCAAAGAATTCAAAATTATAATATATATAAAAGATTTATGTAACATGAAATTGAAATCATAGTCATTCAATTAAATAGATTAAAATATGTTGAAAAATGCATATCAAGTATAATAAAAATTTTGGATATAATGAAATTATAGGAATATTAATTGTTGGCAAATTTATAGAAAAACTGGCTAAAAATTATTAATATTATTTTATATATTGAAATTGAATTATGAAATTTTTTAAGCTTTGCATTGGACTTACAATCTAATTAAATTGTACTTATATCATTTGATTCTCCAAAAGCTAGCTTATTTTTAAAGAAGTAAATTAAATTAATTTTCTTAATAATATATCAAATTCAGTCTTCTCATTTTATATCCTATCTAAAATCTCATGATTCCTGTTCATCAAGATATGATATAAAATCATCATCAAGCATAACTGATGGTTCCCTTTAGAAATAATAACAATATCGCCAACACCACCTAAGTAATTAGAAGCCATCATAAAAAAAATCCATTTTCTTGAAATAATTCCTACCAAAACTATCTACTTCCTTTTCTTTGTAGATATATTTATCCCCTTCTTATATCATTTCAAATATAAACCAAGAGGAAGGGTTCACTATTGAGTAAAATACCCCGATCTTTCTTAATACAAAACTCTATATAAATAGCTGATATTTAGTATCGCCCCATTTCTTTAGGGAAGTTATCAGCTACTGAAGGAGAACCTCTTCCATTATAAGATTCATGCAATAAGAATCTAACTCTAAAGATCTTCATTACAGAGACTTTTCTTACTATCTAATCTTAACTTTTGCTAATTTTAGCCCTTTAAGGTTTCACTCTATAAATTCTTAATCACTATCAAAAAGAACAGTATGAAAAAAAGATTATATGTTTTTAACAACACTGATCCTTCCTACCTCTCTTTATATCAAGAGGGATTTAACAGTTCCTTCCTAGAGGTTCTTTTACATAGTGATTTTCTTAAAGGCTTCTTTTGAAAACATCTATAATTAGCCTCTGTATAAGATGTTCTTTTGTCACTAAAATATCAGTTTCATTTTATTGTGATGTTGATATTCTCTCAAAAGCTTAATTGATATAGTTAAAATCCTTTTACTATGAAACGTCCTTAGAATCCTAATATTAAAAAGCTAAAGTTCTTGCTGGACATGTTGGAGTGTACTACACTCCAACCTCAAATTTAAGCTAGTGTCTTTATAGTCTAGGTGATATAAAAATAGAGTCATCGTTCTCTCTTGCTAAGCTCATCTCCTTTTGAGTTACCTACTATCATCCTCATACTCAATTAAAGTTTATCTAGAATTTAAAATTATAAGCAGTACTTACAAAAGTGAAACTATCATATTTATATTCCAAAAGTATGAAATTTGTTCCTTAAGTAATCTGAATTTCATTAAAGAGACAATTTTAAAGTGATGATTTAAAAAATTTCTAAAAATGAAAAAAAAAACAGATGATTTTACTTAGAAATTAAAAAAATTCACCAAAATTACTGAAGAATCTTAGAAACTATTAAATTGATACATTATTGTAAAACCTTCAAAGTCCTAACCTTCAGAAACCCCAATAACGATTAATCCTGGTAATTATTACCTAGATGAAACTAATCATTTGTTGTGCTTTAGGATACACTATCATTTACTACTTTTTTAAAATTAGATTTGACTCATCTATTTTCTAATAAAGGAATTGCTAAATTAAATTGAAACTAATATATGGAACTATAGATTAAGAATATAAAAGGGAAGACACATTTTATATTATTAAATAAGAAGAAATAAGTTAAATAATAATTGAATGGATGTCTTCTGCTAAACTGAAGCATGTAACTAAAGAGAAATGAGAATATATAAATATTTGAAAACCTAGCTCAATTTACAAATAGACCATATTGATTAATAAATTTAATAGAAGACTTCTAATCTAAATATCCAAAGAGCATTATTTTTAGTCCAAAGTATTATCTATTAACTTCATAAATGAGATTTCATCATATATAAGAATAAATTGTTAAAAGTTCTTGTTCACCCTCATTAGGTTATCATCTCAAACCATTAATTAGGAAGTCTTTAAATAAGAGAAAATTCTCTTATTTATAATTCTAAAATCATGATTTAACAGCAAAATTATGATAATAACCACCATCTTGGTTTAGCATTTATTTTTTCAACTTCTAAAGCTCCGATTAGCCTTATTCAATTAGAGTACTGAGCTGATTAATCTTCTACTAAAGACAATAATTTTCAATCATTTCACCAATAGGCTGATAAACAATTTTTTATTTTTTAGAAAATCTTATTTAATCGAATTTTTTCCAAAAAGTAATATTTTTTGTTCTTATATCTTATTATAAGGCAGAGTTATGGATAATTGTTTAATTAGTATTTTTATATCGCTATTCAGAGCCATATTCGTATTATATTAAAATAAAAATTAGACTAGAATGTTAGAGTACATTAAGGAGCTTGCTAAAGGTGTTGTGATTAAGAATAGTAATATTATAGTGCTTATCAGAAGCTTTCTAATATGTTTATAAAGCTATAAATTGTTGGATTCCTTCCATGCAATGAAATTCTTTATGATGTTCGTTTGGATGCTTCTGGAAGATAATATAGAAAATGGAAGGATAGTATATCCCTAGTGAGAAGAAAATACTTTTGACTTTTTGATATGAGTTTATTCTTATTTGATTGCAGAATTTAGAAAGTTCCTTATTTTCCTTCATTGTACCTGGCTATATTTGGAGTAGAACTTCTAATTTCCAAACCATTCTTTAGTGCCATTTAAAGTACCTAATAAGATGAAGAATTAATAAAAACTTGTTAAGAGTCCAAAATTGCCAAAATGGCTAATCTTATTATTAGCTCTTCTTCTAAACTTGCTGCCTTTGATAGAGTGCTAATAAGCTATTTATTATATATATCTATATAATATCAACAAATATTATATAGAGATATACTTATAAATAGACTTGAAGTGTTAATTAATTTAGAATAGATCAAATATCTTTAATGGTTGGGATGATACAATTATAATTACAATAAAATTAATAAATTGAATGCAAGTTGGAATGAAGATTAATAATCTGAAGTTAGTGATATTAGAGATAAAAAAAAAAAAAAATAACAACATTTTACCCTAATGAGGTATCAACAAATCTTGTTTTAAATACTGGAGGATATGTTACAAGACCATTTTGTAAGGTATTTTGGCCTTTATCTAATAATGAAGCCATTTTATCAGCTTAAAAAATAAATTATCCATATTCAAATAGATAGAATAAGATATTTTAGAAATTATAAACAAATAGCTTTTTTCAACCTAATTCTGCTAAGTATGCAGACTAAAATGAAATAGATCATCTTGTTCTGTCTCATGGAATTATTAAAAAATTATCTAACTTTTTAGCTATACATGATAAAAAAATAATTTTAGTAACAAGATGAAAAATTTTTAATATATAAAAATAGATAAAAGAGTTTAATTTTATTGAAAAAGTTGAAAAACAGTAAAATTATACATCTTGATGCAATTCATGAGAATGAATTTAAGATATTTTTGATATTTATGTTAAATATCTAAGATATCTTATTTGTAATTAAGTATTGAAATTTTTATAAAATGCTCCTAAATTAGTTTATATTAACCTTGTTTAATATTGAAGATTTCAATATTAAACAAATGAATGACTAAATGACAGAATTCAAAAACTTTATTAATACTTTCGTATTTGAATATTACCTTAAAAAATAATAAAACATGCAAAATAATATTAAATATCAATCAAACTTTACACTATTATTGATTATAATTTTGAGTTTATAAAGAATGAAAATACTTTGCATATTTATATATAATCGCACTTATTCTTTTTGCATTTACACTAAATTAGTTGTTGGAATCATAAATTCAAGAATGCGATTTGAAGAGTCAAATTAATAATGTCTACTTTAAAATTAATTATTAAAAGGTCTCCAATAATGTTGAATATTTAAAAATGTTACATTGTTATTATTAGCCAATTATTAAATTATATTCTATAATTTAAAATATCATAAATATTATTTATCATTGAAAATTATTCAAAATAAAATTGTTTAAAAAAATGAGTAAATCAATGATTTTAGAAAATGCAAATTAGTTTAATTGTCAAAAAAATTATAACTAATAGATAAAGCTAGTTATTCTTGATCCTAATTTATAAAAAATCAAAGATTGGAAAATTTTTATTCAAATTACCCTACTATTGGATTTTAGAAAATGACCTAAATAATAGAAAATTTATAAAAACAGAAAATGACAGAATTGGAAAATCAAACTACAAAAACAATTTAATAATTAGAGAAATGTATAAAAATTACAAAAGAAATAAAGATTTAATTTAATAAACTTTTTGATTCTCTTATCAGAATAGCTGAAGATTGGAAAATAGATTTAGAATTATAAATAAAAAAATGTTAAAAAATAAAATAATAGTGAAAATGCAAATATAAAATTTATTAAGAATATTAATCGATCTTGGATTAATAAATTCTACAATAACTTAAATTAATATAATTAAAATGAAGAGAAGATTTATTTTAGAGAATTAAAGTAATAATTCATGAAAATTATAAAACAAGAAGATGAAATCAAATTCAATTTAATTGATTAATCTGTTAAATAAAGCATAAAATTTAATGCAATATCTTTTAATTCTTCTGGATAATATATGATATCAACTGAATATCAAAATATAAAAGTATGGACTTTCAAAAATGGAAAAATTAATTATTTATAGACTTTGTATGGACATACTAAATGGATTTAATGTTTATTATATAGTAAGGAATAAAATTCCTTTATTTCAGGTGCAGGAGACAAAACAATTAGATGTTAGAAAAATTAGACCTCAGCTTTTTGGATTAGTTCAAAACCTTATAAATAACATACTGATTGGGTAATGTGTCTTGTAATGAATAAGAATGAAGATCTACTCTTTTCTGGAAGTAGT